GTAAATAGTCCTTGCACGGCGGAGACTGAGACCTCTCCCTGGACGGAAGATTCGCTGGACAATCCTCTCATCAGGTGCAGCAATTTCTCAGGAGGATTAGATAGGGAGGTGCAAATGTTTCAGATCCGGATTTGTACAGCGCTTTTTGGACGAGGGTGCCAGCGACAAGCCCAGTCAGGATAAAGACATTCGTGTCAATTTGTTGTGGCTATTGAAAGATATTAATTCTTCCTCTTCTTGGAGTAAGAAAATGATAATGTGGTCCAAAATTGCTATGTAATATGTAACCTTTGACCTTGATATTGGCTCTAAATGTGTACTATCTGCACATCAGGAACATTTTTAGGTAATCTGTTCAAAATATGTCAGTGCAGAACTAGTCACAATACGTAACTTTTGACGTTCACTTCTTGTGCATGACCATACAAGATATTTTGTCAGCCAGCTTGATCAAAATCAGGCCAATATTCTGGGTTAACTGTCAGATGTTGGTATTTTGGTAGCCATCATGACCAACGGATGCCATTTTTAATTTTCGGCCAGATTTGAAGAGTTACCTTAGAGTATGACCTTCCTTTAGAATCAAGACAATATGAGAACCTAGTAGATAGGAACAATAAATAAAGAAAATAATACAAATGCGTCATTTTACACTGAATTACGAATGATTATGTAGCCTAACGACAAAGTCAAGCAACCATGACATAATAGAAATATTAGACTTTATGAATATTTGATATGTCTTTGTTATCTATGAACTTTTTCCTTTTTTATCCTAGTAAAACAAAGGTTGAAATACTATCTGTCTCTATTGAATTACACTCCGTATAAACATGTCACTCATTTCCTTTGAAGAGATACAGGATTCAGGTACCCGAGAAGTGGAATATGTTTAAGTGGAATTTGATAAAAGTCAACCGTTTGGAGTTTCGTTCCCAGCAAGACAAAAATCGGATTAATATTGTTCTTCGTATGTATTTTATGCTGGTCTGCTTTGAACTACTGTATATAATTTGAAATTATCTCTCTTATCATTTTTTTATCACCATTACTGTTATTATTACTTATTACCATTATCATTAATGTTGTTTCAACGATATTACAGTTATCATTATTGTTTCCACACCAGGAGGTAAGCAGTGCAATACCAAAAAAAATGTGTGCTGGTAGATAAAGGAGGGAACAATCAATTTCCATTGAATGATTTGTTGAAGATGTAGTGCAGTAGAAAGTTTTTTTTGTAACTCTCTATGTTATGGAGTGATTGTTGCTGTAAGAAAGGTAAATAGATCTATGTCATTTTCGTATTTATTTCAATATTTCACCCTCCTCTGTGTCTTCTGGTAGCCTATAGCCTGCTAACAAACATGAATGACCGACCTCTTGCTTGGCAGCCAGCCACCACAATCATCATCTTAAGAAATATATGTGCGATATGTGCAATACACTTATCTATACAAGTGAGGTCTCGTCACTTGAGAGTTCTGCGCAGCTTTGGGTGATGAGACCTACGATGTCTTGTGGGACAGGCTGAGAATATAGTACCAATTCGTCAAAGAATCATTGGATTGAGGAAGAAGATAATGGAATTTTTAGACGATTCGCCGATTTGCGCACTAGATTGATTTTAAACCCAATGATTAATCTGTAGGTATATATCGCATCCCCGCCGGAGATGTGGCACCTTGCCGACGGTGACGAGGCTTGCGAGGATCGGGGATGACTCAAGCTATGCCACCACGCGCAGCTATGTTGGAAAGGTCGAGTCAGAGATTCCAGACGAAGACCACATATACCTGTACCAATCACCATTGGGCCAGCATGGTAGAGTACGGCCTATGATGCAAACCACTGAGGATGTCAAAAAGACGCAAGAATAGCACAAGACCGGCAGAGGTGGTGTAGATTGGGGGAAAAAGAAGCGGTATCGTACATTTTACTTGGATTCATTCAATTTTATGCTGTGTAATGAACAAAGAAAACATGGTATGTGCATGACAATAACGTTTTATTCTATCAAGACATATGTAAAAGCATAATGCTTTCGACCAATTTATTATGAAAAAAACAAAAAAATATATAAGAGGATGTTTACGGAGTTTTCGGCCTATGAGACGGGAGACAGAAGCCCGCGTACATGTTGCAACAAGTATGCACAGGCTGTCATTCTCCCGTTTTTTTTGTTTATTTTTATTCAGTTCAACGGTGACTTTCCGTGAGTGAGATGGCGCCTTCCAGTAAAATGAGTGATGAAGTTTTCCGTGATTCAAAGGAGAGCACCACATTTGACTCATGGTCATATTGGAAAGGCTGACGTGCATTAAGTGTTAAGTGCGCTCTGAATATCATTTCCCAAGAGACACTGTTGCTGGAAGGAGAATTTCAAGAGAGTACGCGTAAATGAGAACGGAAGTCACGAGAACTTCCTCAGGGCTGTTAAAGAGGATATTCAGTCCAAAGGTCTCTGAATATGAAAGTAAAAACCAAGAGTAGGGGAGGGAGGGAGGGAGGGAGGGAGGGGGGGAGAGGGAGGGGGGAGAGGGAGGGGGGAGAGGGAGGGGGGGAGAGGGAGAGAGAGAGAGAGAGAGAGAGAGAGAGAGAGAGAGAGAGAGAGAGAGAGAGTGAGAGAGAGAGAGTGAGAGAGAGAGAGTGAGAGAGAGAGAGTGAGAGAGAGAGAGTGAGAGAGAGAGAGAGAGAGAGAGAGAGAGAGAGAGAGAGAGAGAGAGAGAGAGAGAGAGAGAGAGAGAGAGAGAGAGGGGATATGTGTAGAAGAAAGAGAGGAGGGGTGTAGCGAGGGATATAAAGAGGAGAGAAACAGGAGAGGATGAGAGAGAGGTTAATTAGAATTCTAAATAAAAAAAATCTTTTCTTTCTTGCTGTTTCTCTTTACCTTATCCACACCGATGGATCTATTTATTTATTCTGTGACAATGTGTTATTTCTAACCCGCAAGAAAACCATTCTGATTCAAGACTTGGACACTCCATCGGGCAAAGGTAAATCGAAGACGAGTGGCGCGTTGATTGCCTGGTACCTCGAGTTGCAGATCGAGGCGTTCATGTATACTGTGTTCGCGTCCTTCGAGACACCGTAGCCTGTGGGGGGGGAAGGGTTTGGGTTGTAATGGTGAACGTCTTGCTCTTACTGTCCACCTGAGACAGGGTTCCGCGTCTCTTATATCCTCTTGTCTTCTGTCACTTTATCTGTCGGTTTGGTGATTTTTTTTCTCTGTCTCGGTCTGTTTGTCTGTCTGTCTGTCCAAAAAGTAACAGGCTGTGTCTGTCTCCTCTAGCCAAATATCTCGTATTCAATCATCCATGTTTGTCTACCTATATAACCGACTCTATAAATCAAAATAGATCTTTATAGTTTTTTCTTTTCTTTTCATTTTCAGAATCACTCCAAACGTCCCTGTAACCAAAACACGAGACACAAAAACCAAACTCACCTTCATGTATGTGACCGAAGACGTGGTACTTGGGCCTGACACGACGCTGTACGGTCTCCTGAAGGTCCTCACAGCCAGCCCTTTTCTTCCTTGCGGTCAGGTCGCCTTGACCCAGGGGCGGCGTGTGGGTCAGCAGGATATCCGTGTCCGCCGGAATGGCTTGCCACTTCTGCCGGAGGGGTTCTCCTCGGGGTAACTCGAAGGCCCTTAGGTGTGGGTATTTCTCTGCTCTGAAAATAAATATTTGAAGATTTTTAAATGAAGTGAATATTTCGTCCTACTTTCATTAAATCACGTTGTTCCTAGTTACTGAGGTATCACAAAGACCGGGAAGAGATCAGCTTTATATACGGCAGTCAGATTCCCATAATATAGGACAATAAACAGTACAGAATAAGGAAAACGTGTTAATGTAAAAAAATGTCATTTGCAGCTAAGACTTTATTCTTATCTTTGTTGCAAGTGTATCTTAATTATGATGAGAATAAATTCACTTCAACTAGAAGACTGCAGAAACTAAGAAAATATCGAAAAAAATGTATAAGCTGATTGTCCTCATATGTAGAAGCAGCTTGTGGAATATGTAAGCAGTTAATCTGAGAGCGCCATTATAGCCATAGTGAGAACATTATCTTACCTTCGTTATATCCAAATCCGTTACTGCTTTCTTTTTAACCTATCATGCGATCAAAATTGGTCCACACTAAAAACCGTCCTTTCTTGCAAAAGACAAAAACGAAATAACTAATACAATACATCTTGCTACATTTCTCGTCTTTGAAAACTATGATGTATTTTCTACATTCATCTCTCCTCCTTTCTCCGTCATCCTCCACCCCGTTCTTCCTTTCAATAAACAGTACTTACTTCCACCTATCGGATGCCGTTTTCATGGGCGAATGATATTCGGGTATCCTGGAAAAGAAAATGGGAGCAAAGTAGTAGTCGATCGTCAAGAATCATATATGAAAGTGAGATTTTTACTATTCCCCCAAACTATTTAATATATAAAAAATATGTTCGCGGTTAGAAAGACATCTTTAAATATGTTCATGCTCGATCTGAGGAATTCCTTTTTTAATCCACTACTGACCATCTTTCATTTTCTTTTTTTTTTATCCAAACTTACACATTCAATTATTTCGCGCAATTCTTGGTCACGTGCAACAAGACAGGGGAATTCATTCTCATGCTTGTTGGTATCGGCGTAAACTTGATTGTATGTTTGGAATGTGTTTGAACACTGATCTTTAATTCGTGTATCTTACTTCATTTTTCTCGTTGTTCACAATTTCTAGCATTAATCATACAAAATTGACAGTTAATATTAATTCCACTAATCATGTAGTGTGTTTACTAAATTCAAGAATCCCTTCCAGCAAAGACACACTTTATTTCCAGAATCAATAACGAAATCATTCCCATCAGAAGAAAGAAGATCGCTCACTGACCACGGAGAACCATATATTTTGATGCCGAAGAGAGTCACACTCTCATCACACAAATAGATGGCGTTGGTGAGGAATCGCGTTGGGTCAGCGGGAAGAGCACGGCCGCATTCCTCTGCGTCTAGGAGGATGTCGTGGTTCCCTGCTATCACCACTTTGTGCTTGTGAGGTAGCGTCCCTGTTGAGGTGAAGTTGGAAAGAAATTGGGGGGGTGGGGGTGTCAGCGTTCATACTACGAATATAATATGTCTTCAAAGAATTAGTATTACGGTTTGGAAAGAGGACTGTTAATGTTATTCTTCTGAGTTTAAAAATGTGTAGTTAGAAACAAATACAAATGCAACGGCTGATGCAGGGTGATCATAGTTGTGCCAGAGATTTGAAAAGAGGTTGATGTAAAAAGGTTGAGGACCAATCACATACTATATCACATATTAACAAACACTGGAACATCAGATTTATTAAATTAGCGTGGAATCATTAATAGTTTCATAATAACAAGAATTGGAATGTTACCAAGCCAAATATTGAACTGCATGGCCTCGCTGAGTGTGCCTCGCCCTGTGAAATCTCCTGCATGGAGGAGGACATCTCCATCTGGGACGCCCGCCTTCACTACCCGGCTGTGCGTATCGCTTACGCACACGAACCTTACCTGAGCGGGTGAGCTGCATCAGTATATTCATATGGATTTACCTGCGTATTTTTTGCACACTGAGAGAAGTAAATACTATTCAATTCTGAATAAAGGGCCATAAAGACAGCAACACAGTATCAAACACAAAATCATAAAAATAGAAAACGGTATGTTAAAACTTGATGGATATATACTTAACATAAAAAATCATAACATGTGGTACATAGCTTAACACAAACGATCATGACACTGATTAATGAATAAAACAATGTCCTCAAAGTCAGTGATATAGTAGAAAGTATGAGTGACCGATAATGGCTGATGGTGATAACTCTGATAATACGTATGATAATGTTTTTGATAAAAGACAAAGTAAACTAATAATGGCAAAACAACATTACAAAAGTCTGACCAAAAATAAGGTACGCAGACGACACAAATCATTCATGGTTTTCCTGTTTTCTCAAAATAAATATTAACTATTCATGTGCAGATTTATTTCCCCTCTGCAACTAACAACTCAAGTATTCAAAGTCTGGTCAAGTAAGGAAGCTAAACAAGGCAACAGCTTGCTCACTCTACCTCACCAACAAAAAAAACTTTTCAAAGGTTTGGACGAGATTTATGAAGACTCAACCATGAAAAGGGCCAATGTCATGGTAAAAAGGGACCTCCGGATTCCTCTGCTACATCGTTTTTCACAGCAGAGGAGATTTAGCAAACTTACGAGACAGGTCAGCAGACTATATTCACGTTTGCACCATCAGCCACAACACACACTTTTGCACCATCAACCACAACACACAACCTCCTAAACAGGAAATGATTATTCAAAATTATCGATGACTTCACAGGTACCACACTTCCTGTCTGTTATATTTGCCTTATATTCTGTTCTTTCTTCAAAGTTTCTTCGCCATGTTGGTCACAGTACGTGCAATTTTGATTATTCATCTATATCGACATGATATATGTTGAATACGCTTGGGGGTGGGTCACAATTTTCAACATTTTCACAAGCGTACAGAACATACACTATTTGGAGATCACCCCCCCCCCCTCAAAAAGTGTACAGCAATGTTTATTTACAGGAAGCGTATTTTATTATGTCAAAGCTGAAACAAATTCATGTAAATGTTGATTATAATTTGCGAGTAAGCACCACATGTATGGCCTGCGTGCTGCAGGAGTGGCCTATGAAAAGCGTACACTTGTCCCTGACCCCCCCCCCCCCTCCACCAGCGTGTTGTTTGTACGCTTGTGAAAATGTTAAAAATTGCAAACCACCCCTTAAACCCCACTGAAATGATTCCAAAATGGATTCAATATTTCGCTTCCACAATTTTGAACATAGCTGAACAAAATACTGCATCACATCTCATTACTCTTGAACTGATCCTCGCACTGATAACCGCAACTCTTACTATCACTTAGACCCACCAGATTAGGGGCAGGAGGGGGAAGGTCCTCCTGAGGTGTCCTCTTCGGCTTGGTTGCGAAGGAGGCGCCGCCACGACCGCCATTCCGCCGCCAGTTCATCTCGGAGAAGTGAGAGACGCCTGGGAAATAACGCAGAGGGTTCGGAGTATTTTGTGTTCTCGCGGTGGTCATTATGATCACATGATCTTGATGTATATTAACAGTGATAATGACCGCAGCAATGGAGTACTCACTATTTTCATTCATCAGTATTGTTGCTTGTTTACAAATAGTGATAATAATGATGGTGATGATGATAACAAACATGATTTACGATTGTTTACCTTTTAAAACCTATTTTTGAACCATTGAGTATTAAATGATATTAAACAACAACGTGCATGTGCAGATAACCTAGACACTGCCAGATGTACAATAAGCAGTTTAGGCAGTCGATATTCACCCAAAAATTGTAGAGGAATGTTCGCATGCCTGCGACCACAGTTGCTTAATGAACCAGAATCTTATTTAGATATGTTTCTACATAC